TATAGAAAATCAAAGCCTTACACGGTCTAGCTGGATCTTAATGCTTGTATGATTCTTATGTGAATTTATATACTACGTATGTAGTCCCACAGAAACGAAGAATTTTTGGCAATAAGAATTAATTATTTACAGTTTTTAATATGTTATTCATCATTATTAAGATCGTTTCGAAGATGCGAATAAGCATCAAAAATTTGTTAAAATTGCTAGTCAATTTAACTCATGATATTACTGCGGTAGTTTAGTAGAGTTAGCGTTTCAAGACCGGAAATTTTTCGGCGCGCGTTTCTGTGGGACTACATACGTAGTATATAAATTCACATAAGAATCATACAAGCATTAAGATCCAGCTATAGACCGTGTAAAAACAATTATATTCGAAAAAAATAGTAAAGTAAAACTAATTACATTGGTGACGTAATTACAAGTAATCTCCGGAGCTTCGCTCCTCCGCTCTACTCGATACTCTCGGTATTCGCACACAGAGTCGCTAACTTATTTCTAACGCCGAACGCCGGTCATACGCTACAGCACGAGCCCCGATCTTCCCCGCGGTATCTTCCGACGGTGTCAAACGACCCGCCCCTCGACAACCGGCAAGAACCCGTATCCGCTGAACTACCAGCCTTCCGAGCGCGCAATGCCGGCGCGATTATAAATCTCAAAAGATTAAACATCTCTATGCGACACGACTCTACTCGACAACGCGAATCCCAGAAACGGACTCTACTCGGTAACACAACCACCGGAAGTTAACTCGGCAACGCAACAATACGCGTTCCGATGCGACAGTACAATGCTCGATGACACAATTACAGTGAGCATTCGACGCGACGCGATACTAAACGATAACGCGACTACAATAAGCGTCTTTACGCGACACGACGAGATTCGACGATGCGACTGCAACACGCGCCTCTACGCGATTCTACTCTACTCGGTATTCGGAAGTGCCTCCCCTATGGCGAGAGGAACGAGCGCGACTCGGCCCTCGATAGTCTCCAAACGACTCGAATCTACTGCAACTCAACAGCTAATATTCCCCTCCTAATTCGACTCTAGAAACGCGACAGCTAATTAATTCTCCGGAGGATTGCACATGGCTCGCGCTTTCTCGTCTCTACACGGCAGCCATTACGCCGGTCTGTCTTCGCGATGCGAGCTTGCCTACGCGCGATCCACTCGAAGCGACGAACCTACGTCGGCAACTTCACAACCGCAACGCTCGTCTCACCCTCGTCATCTCCTTCGCGTCCCGTCCTCGATACTCGGCTTTCGTCCTCTAGGCTATTGGCTCCTCGACTGCGACCATCTAGCACTTTCTGTACAACTTAAGGCTCACTCGTCCATAGCAAGAGTGAGGCCCGGGAGTTCCCGGCGGATTCTTGCAGGCTGTTGAGCTCCCCCCCCTCCTTTAGGGGGAGGTAGCCGCGCTGATTGGCTTTCGCGTGTCACGGTATCCGCGCGTGCCGTGCAGGTCCGCGCAGTCTTGATTCCTCGCTCTTATGAGCGTGCAATAAACGTCCCTGTCAAGGGTGGCGTCTTTACTAACGGCCCCTGCACTTCCTGGCCTGGCTGGAGAGATCTGGATGAATTCCCTTCTCGCTCCTCGTCGGGGCCCTATACCCCCGACGGACGTCCGTCCGGCTCCTCAATTGTGGCCGGGAATTCTGGCCTCCTCCGGTGCTCTGCAAGGGATGCATGGTGAAAGTATGGTTCTTTTCTCTCGACAGCGGACTACTAACAATGATATAAAATAATACAACCTGCCGTCCGGGCTCCCGTATGTGCGTCCTTCTCTCTCAGCTTCGGCCTTCCAATTCTGTCCTCCTTCGGTACGGTTCCTTCTTCCTGGGGTGGTGGGTGAGACGGCACGATGATACAGCTTCATTCTATTGCAACTGCCGAACGCGATCCGTAGCGCGTCTACGCTTTCTGAGAAGCTTTACTATTACGCAAAAGAAATGCGAACACAAAAGAGGAAAATTGCAGAGTAAAATAGATGACGCGATTTTAACGCACGTTCGCAGGTGCGCTCGCACGCGCACTCGCGTGTGCGCTCGCCCACACGCTCGCCCTTCGAGCCGGTAGGAAGCGCGAGTCTGCCGCCGACAAGTCTGCACAGTTACGGACAAAAATGTCACTTCACAACTGCTCCCTACTTAAAAAGGACCGAGGAGATGTCGACGAGTGTCGCTTGCTGCCAACGCGGTTACTCTATCCGACTCTACTAGTTTTGCCTTGTGAAACGTGCGGGGGAGGAGCGGCGGAACGCGTCAGCGGTCGATCTGGCGGGGCCCCTTCCCATTCCGATAGCCGCGTCCGGGTATTGGCGACTGGGGAATGCACAAGAAACGCA